AAAAAAAAAAAAAAAAAAAAAAAAAAAAAAAACAATACAGTACACGTTCATTTCCTGCTCCATCAACCACTCTATCTCTTAACTTCCTACTTTGTAAAATGAGGACATTTGCCCTTTCATCTTTTCTCTCTCCATGGCTACTTCCCCACCTCAATCAGCTGTACCTTTTTTTTCACACTGTCTGGTTGAGAACATTCACTTCCTATTTTGTAATTATAAATAAGTGTTCTATAATAGCACTATAGGTTGATTCTAAAACTGAAAAATAAATGCACTCACAAATATGCAAAAATAAAGCCACACACTCCTAAATAACTAACAAGTCTAAGAAATGACAGGGGAGGCCGGGCGCGGTGGCTCACACCTATAATCCCAGCACTTTCGGAGGCCGAGGCGGGTGAATCACAAGGTCAAGAGATCGAGACCATCCTGGTCAACATGGTGAAACCCCGTCTCTACTAAAAATACAAAAATTAGCTGGGCATGGTGGCACGCGCCTTAGTCCCAGCTACTAGGGGAGGCCGAGGCGGGAGAATTGCTTGAACCCAGGAGGCAGTGGTTGCGGTGAGCCGAGATCCCGCCATTGCACTCCAGCCTGGGTAACAAGAGTGAAACTCTGTCTCAAAAAAAAAAAAAGAAATGACAGGGGAAATCAGAAAATACTTTTGCAATGAATGAAAATGAAGATATATTGAAACTTATGGGATCCAACAAAAGCAGTGCTTAAAGAGAAATTCATAGCTATATTAGAGAAGAAAGCTGGGTGTGGTGGTTCACGCCTGTAATCCCAGCACTTTGGGAGGTCAAGGTGGCTGGATTGCTGGAAGCCACAAGTTTGAGACAGCCTGAGCAACAAAGTGGGACCCTGTCTCTAAAAATGTTTTAAAATTAGAAGGCCATGGTGCTGGGTGCCTGTGGTCCTAGCTACTTGAGAGGCTGGTGAAAGGTTTGTTTGAGCCAGGAGCTGGGAGGCTGTGGTGAGCTATGATCACACCACTGCACTCCAACGTAGATGACAGAAAAAAACTCTGCCTCTAAAAACAAAAAAGATAAATCATAACCTAAGCTTCCAAAGAACAAAGAAAACAAAGCAAGCAGAAGAATAGAAATAATACAGGTTAGGGTAGAAACTACTGAGTAGAGGAGAGAATAATACAGAAAAATCAATGAACCCGGCCAGGCATGGTGGCTCATGCTTGTAAGCACAGCACTTTGGAAGGCCGAGGTGGGCAGATAATGAGGTCAAGAGATCGAGACCATCCTGGCCAACATGGTGAAGCCCGGTCTCTGCTAAAATACAAAAATTAGATGGGCATGGTGGCATGCGCCTGTAGTGCCAGCTACTTGGGAGGCTGAGGCAGGAGAATTGCTTGAACCTGGGAGGTGGAGGTTGCAATGAGCCGAGATTTCGCCACTGCACTCCAGCCTGGTACCTGGCAAAAGAGCAAGACTCTGTCTCCAAAACAAACAAACAGACAAAAAAAATCAATGAACACAAAAGCTAGTTCTTTGAAAATATCAAAAAAATTGACAAGCTTTCAGCTGCACTAACCAAGAAAAAAAGAGAAGACTCAAATTACTAAAATCAAGAATGAAAGAGAGGACACTACTACTAACCTTATGGAAATAAAAAGTAGTACAAGGAAGCCCTTTGATCTCAATAAGTTAGATAACTTAGATGAAATAAGCAAATTCATAGAAAGCTAAACTACCAAAACTCACTCAAGAAGAAAATCTAAATAGACTCATAGAAAGTAAAAAGATTAAACTTTTATGATTTTAAAATTTTCCATGAAAAAAAAATCAACAAACAGCTGAAAAATCAATGCAAATTTATTCTCTAAACTTTTCTATATACTTAATATTTCATTTAAAAATTCATTGCAGGGCCATGTGCAGTGGCTAATGCCTGTAATTCTAGTACTTTGGGAGGCCGAGGTGGGCGGACTACCTGAGGCCAGGGTTTTGAGACTAGCCTGGTCGATTCATATACTCACTGTCAATTCAGTGCAAAAAACACGTACTAGACAGTTACTCTGCATAAAACATAGTCCTAGGGACTTTGAAGGATATGGAGAAAAAGATGAACTGATTCTTACCTCCATGGGCTTAGAATTTAATCAGGAAGATAAACTATACAAAATAACTAAAGTACAAGTAGATGTGATAGGTAACATATGTATTAACAAAATAGGCATGGGAGCTCAGGGAATACAGACTACTTCTTTTGGCGGAAAAACAGAAGGAGAATGTAGCAGCAAAGACAAAAGTGGTAGAAATGGTCAAGCTAGTGGCATGTACCTGTCATCCAAACTATTCAAGAGGCTGAGGAGGATTCCTTGAGCTTCGCAGTTTGAAGCTGCAATGAGCTATGATCATGCCGTTACACTCCAGCCTGGGCAAAGGGTCAGACTCTGTCTCTCTCACTTTTTTTTTTTTTTTAAAAGGTGGGCGCAGTGGTTGGCACCCATAATCTCAACACTTTGGGAGGCTGAGGCGGGTGGACTGCTTGAGGCCAGGAGTTTGAGACCAGTCTGGGGAACATGGTGAAATCCTGTCTCTAATAAAAGTACAAAAATTAGCCAGGTGTGGTGGTGGGCACCTGTAATCCCAGCTACTCGGGAGGCTGAGGTAGGACAACCACCTGAACCCGGGAAGCAGAGGTTGCAATGAGCTGAGCAGAGATGGCACCACTGCACTCCAGCCTAGGTGACAGAGCGAGACTCTGTGTCCAAAAAAAAAGCCAGGTGCAGTGGCTCACTCCTGTAATCCCAGCACTCTGGGAGGCTGAGGCAGGCAGATTACCCTAGGTCAGGAGTGAGACCAGCCTGACCAACATGGAGAAACCCCATCTCTACTAAAAATACAAAAATTAGCCAGGTGTGGTGGTGCATGCCTATAATCCCAGCTACTTGGGAGGCTGAGGCAGGAGAATCACTTGAACCCGGAGGAGGAGGTTGCAGTGAGGTGAGATCACACTATTGCACTCCAGCCTAGGCAATAAGAGCAAAACTCTGTCTCAAAAAATATATATATTTTTTTAAGATGGGGTTTCACCATGATGGCCAGGCTGGTCTTGAACTCCTGACCTCAGATGATCCACCCACCTCAGCCTCTCAAAGCGCTAGAATTACAGGCATGAGGCACCGTGCCCGGCCAAAAATAAATTTTTTAAAAAAGGAAAACAAACAATATAATCATAATCTTTACGGAACAGAAACTAACATAAAATATCTAAAAGTGAAGACACGTATGTCTATATCATTTTGCATCTCAAACCTCATATTCTAGGTTTGTAATTTTGTGTTCATAGAAGCCTAGAACTGACTTGATTTCTGAACCCAAGATCTCACAAGGCAAAAGTAAAGATCCTGTTAGCATTTGTTCATTAACAAAAACTGATGCCCAAAAAGTGATAACAGAAAGACTTTAGGGGCTCCTACTGGCTTAGTCAATATCACAATCTTTTTTTTTTTTTTTTTTTCTTTGGTATTTTTAGTAGAGACGGGGGTTTCACCATCTTGAGCAGGCTGGTCTTGAACTCCTGACCTTGTGATCCACCCGCCTCGGCCTTCCAAAGTACCAGGATTACAGACACGAGCCACCACACGCAGCCATCAATATCACAATCATTTAACAAAATTACTATGTTAGGAACTCAGAACTCTTATTTCCGATTAACCAACCACTTCAACAAATACTCATTTATTTGAGTAATCCAATAAATTTCTCTAATGTTAATAGTAATTGATATTTAAAAATACAATTATATAAATAAATGTTTGCTTTATATTATACAAAACGTCAAGGGCAAAGGTAGCAAAACTGTATAACTATATAAATACTGAAGGAATAAGTTCATAAAACAAAATGTAACCATGGGGAATTATGGATATTAAAGAACTACATGAAGCTACAAAAATAAATAGGCCAGGCGCAGTGACTCACACCTGTAATCCCAGCACTTTGGGAGGCTGAGACAGGTGAATCGCCTGAGCTCGGGTATTCAAGACTAGCCCAGCATGATGGCATGTGCCTGTAGTTCCAGGTACTTGGGAGGCTGAGGTGAAAGGATCTCTTGAGCTTGGGAGGCGAAGGCTGCAGTGAGCTGAGATGGCACCACTGCACTCCAACCTGGATGAGAGAGCGAGAACATGTCTCCACAACAAAAAAAGAAACAGAGGTAACAGTCACCCCTGGAAAGGAAAACAAGATAACAGAAGAATGAGAGATGGAAGGAAGAAGTCTTTCACTACATTTCCTTTTGTACTATTCCCGCTAATAACTCCCTTGGTCAAATAAGCAGTACTTACCAGAATTTTATCAGCTTTGGCTTCACTTATTCCCTTAATATTTATTAGCTCCTTCTTTGGTGCATAGGCAACAGCCTCCACAGTATGGAATCCAGCTTCTTCCAATTTTTTCACATCATTGGCATTTATGCCACACTGCTGCAAGTGAAGAAAACCATAAATAAATTTAAGCTTTAGTTCTCTAATCTAACACAGATGATATGTGTCCTACATACTTCACAGAGGTGCGTAAAGACTTATAATACAACTGTCCCTAAATCCTGGGGTGGGGAGATGGGAAGTTGCTTCCAGAACCCCCAGTAGATAATAAAATCCAAGAATGCTCAAGTACCTTATATAAAATGGCATCTTATCTGCATATAACCTATGGACATCCTCCTGTATACCTTTTTTTTTTAATATGAAGTTGATTGAATTTTTCATATGTAGTTTGTTCAATTTCCTGATGCAGAATCCAGGGATATAGGGAGCCTACTGTATTATATGCAAAAGCTGAAAAATGAGCCCTATGTATGAGGTACTAAATAACAAAGTAACAACTTTTTCATCATCAAAATCAGTAATTTTAAACTAGCACTATGCCATGTATATTAAAAAGAATTCTTGGCTGGGCGCGGTGGCTCACGCCTGTAATCCCAGCACTTTGGGAGGCCTAGGTGGGCGGATCACGAGGTCAAGAGATCGAGACCATCCTGGCCAACACGGTGAAACCCCGTCTCTACTAAAAATACAAAAATTAGCCGAGCGTGGTGGCACGAACCTGTGGTCCCAGCTACTCGGGAGGCTGAGGCAGACGAATCACTTGAACCCAGGAGGTGGAGGTTGCAGTGAGCCGGGATTGCACCACTGCACTCCAGCCTGGTGACAGAGCAAGACTCCGTCTCAAAAAAAAAAAAGAATTCTTATTAGCAATTGGAATTAAAAAGCAACTCCCAACATTTTTTCTTCTTTTTTTGAGACAGTCTCTCACTCCGTCACCCAGGCTAAAGTGAAGTGGCACGATCTTGGCTCACCGCAACCTCTGCCTCCCGGGTTTGAGCGATTTTCCTGCCTCAGCCTTTCGAGTAGCTGGATTATAGGTGCAAAAAATGGGTAGGGTAAATAAGGCGCTCCCAGGGTACTGGGGATAAAGCAAGCCTTTCTATCCCAGGTTGGCTAGTTGGGGACAATCACTGTTTGGGATGATCAGTGTGTCCATATTGGTCAGCGTGTCCAGTGATACGTCCAGAGTTGTTACCTTCTAGGTTACTATTGAATCCGAGTTGATTTTATGTCATGTTGTCTGGCATAAAATAGATATTAATTAGCCTGGTATGGCCACCATACCCGGCTAATTTAAATTTTTTTTTTTTTTTTTTTTTTT